GGGGGTTTTTTTTTCCCCCCCCCCCCCCCCCCCCCCCCCTTTTTTTTCGCCGCCAACAGCGACATTAAGGTTTTGATGGATACAGAGGAGATGTGATGCCTTCACAACGGAACCAGTAATGATAGATGGAGATACAGCTATTCCGGGTGTATTTTCACTCACTACATGCTGCCATACGCCAAACATTATAAAGCAACGCATCTATATAACACGGGACCCGCGCTCTTCGAACGATATACAAACACGATGACAATGCCCCGAACAGGAAGAAAGGATATTATCGTTTCTTCCTGCTCGGTGAACATCGTTTCTTCCTGTTCGGTGCATTGTTAACACACGCTACGCACACACCTGTGTGTTTGTTGGCTGCGGGTATCGGGCATGCCATGATGTGTTTTTTTGTAGAGTCTATTCCGACAGAGGATGGGTGGTGTTCTGCGCCCGATTGTAAACGATTGCTGGGCTGTGGGTGAGCGAGAAGAAGGGATATAGTGATGTCATCAGTATTGCGAGACGTGAGGTGAGATTTCGAGGATTGTATCAGTTGAGAGGTTGACGAAGGTTGTCTCACCAACCAGGAGATTACTCTTGATTGAGATGCGATGTGGGGATGCACTGCCTTGAAAGGCCCGCGGCAGTGGCTTCGTCAGACGTACATTGATTAAGCAGTCCTGGTGCGAGAAAACGGTAAGGCTTCATTTCACGTGGAGTGCACGAGGTGGTGAGAGGCCGCTCGATGCACAGATGCAGTCACGGCATCTCGAGTTGATTTAAAATTGCACTGAGAAGCGGCTACGAAACGCAAAAGAATGGAACGCACCCGGATACACAACCTGGCCTGTAGTATACCTAGTCTGACGAGCGTGCCAAGAATGGGTAGGGAAGTAGGGTAGGATGGGGGGCAGGGCATTGGAAAGGATGTCCAACAAAACGTCAAGCATGGGCACCCGTCAAGCATGGGCACGCATCATTGCGCCTGGTAAATTTTACCCTTGGTACTGTACGGCACGCGGTTTTACCCTTTACCCAAGGGTAGCTCATTGAAAAAAAGGGGGACTACAATAAAAACTTTTGTTGACATGCGAAGGGCGTTTCGGGGTGTGCCCTCCCCGTCAACAGCAATGTAATGGGAACCCTGGAAACGGCCTCCTAACCGACGGCAATGTTGCTGACGTGTAATAAGGATCGTCGTGTGTATGCCACAGGTTTCACCACCTTCAAAGGGCGTTTTTGGAGGGATTATCACTGAATTGCATATGGACATGTATCAATCCAAAGGGTGTCTTATTCCAGGAGGCGATATTAAGACCAAGTGGTTCGGGCCACGGCAGCCCGTCCAGCTCTTGCCGCTTGCCGCAGTTATCAGAACGAGGATTCATATTGGTGAGAGCACTGTGAACCAACTAAAGTGATCGTCGTGGGCACGACAAGAGCTCTGCGAACGAACCTCCCGTCGTTATGTTGAGTTAGACGTCATGAGAGAAGCCCTGCTATGTTGTTGTCTAGACCTTATGTTGGATACAACAATGTCGAATGATTCCTGTTTTAAGTATGACCGACAATGCGATTGTAGGAGTTCTGAAAGTCACTTAGCTTTCGTGTCATTGTGTTTTGGGGGAAAAAAGGTAGACCTTGGCATTGTCAGGCTGAGAATGCCTCTTGACATAGAGTAAGATCTTTTGACTGGGAGGCATATCAGTCTTCTTCATTTAGACATTACCGTAAAGCTTTTCGGACTTTCTGCAGACGTGCTCTGTCTTTATGGGCGGTAGGTTGTTGGTAGAATATGTGCATTAGGGTTTGGGAGCAGTTCTTCTGCTTATGAAAAGTTTTGATGCAGAATGTTTTTGCAGATAGTAGGTGAGACGATTCTATGAGTTGGTGATTTTTTTTCTGCCCAAACAGGATGAGATTTCCAGGTTTCAAACTGCGCAGGTAAGTTTCGTCACGTTCGTCTGAGATGCTGGAGGCGGGCCGTTGTAAATTAGTCACTTGTTTACAGCTCTGCCCAAGTCTGCAGATGATTGCGTATTGTTGGCAAGTCATGAATAGGGATTCTTTTAGAAAAACTTCTCGGTACAGGTATTGAACTCTCCAAGCTGTACATATTCCACCGGGAATGGGCCTCGTGAGAGGATAATTTGTGGCTGTGGAAACACGGCATTCGAGATACTCGTAGAGCATGGCATCACCGGTCTACCAGTCCAGAAAGTTCGAATTACGGAGCCGGTATTCTTAAATTACCCTTTGCGAAGCAGAGGTGGATGAGGAGAGGATAGCACCAAATCCTATGTCATTCTTTAGAAGCAAAAGTATAGTTCGGAATCCGAACTTCCGACAAGTTTTGAAGATCAAAAATTCTGCTCATTTGTGTAAGCAGTGTAAAACATGCTCTTTGAATTTGAATGACAGTGACGACCCGTATTCGACACCAATGTGATTGGCTGAATGTGTCGTAAAGGCTGCAAGATTAAATCCCCCGCCGAATGCAATTGGATCCTACTGCACATCCAGCAATGATGCCTTTGTAGAAAGCGAGCCACACTGCACGGATGGTCATGTGTCTCGAAACATGGCACACTGTGCAGAGACGAGCGAGTTGAGATCCAGTGTGTTCCTCTCCATCCTCCCGAAAGCAGTCGTATTTCGTAACAGCCCATCTTGCACGGCACGGAAGAGGTTCGGGTGGTGACTGATCTATGCTTCCGCATAATGAATCTTTCGGGGCATTCAAGCTCTCGCAATGGGTTGTTTGTACTGCCCTGGTTCAGTTGCGTCGTTTCCATTTTTTCATGCCCTTGCTTTGGTTCTCGTCCCTAACAGTTCGGCATTGCGTCAAATCTCCCATCGCTCATGTTCTCTCGCTCTCTATTATTTTCCCCCTTAATCCCTCTACACCACGAATCCCTCAGCCAACGAAGTCGTCAAAAGCATCTGTTTACAAACACCTCAGCATAAAGGAAGGAAAAACACTAGTCGGAGTACCCTACCTAATCTAATCGTCAAACCTGTCATCATCGTCGTCATCATCATCGTCATCATCATCGTCATCATCATCGTCATCGTCATCATCGCGCACGGCTGTTTCATCGAGCAGCGTGAGCTGGTCCCCCTTACGGACGGAAAGACCCTTGCCAGCCCGAATGAGCCCATCAGCAGCGGCTGGGACCGGCTTGCCGAAGGAGGCGGCAAAGAAAAGGACCAGTGCGATGAGAAGAAGAACAGAGGATCTCATTATGTTGAGCGAGTTGTCTGTGAAAAGAACGGTTGTTTGGGTGAGTGGAATGAGAAGTCAGTTGTATTGTCCGTAGTGTTGTCAGTTGTTGAGGTTGATGAGAGGGATATGGGTGCGCCGAATTCAACCGGCTTTATATACGCGAACAGGCAGCTGACATAAGCAGCCAAGGATGGTAGCATACGCTTCTTCGATGCTACGCCCTCGCCCCCGCGCGAAAACGCCACTGACAATAGCGACAACTGGAGAGAAACCTCAAAGTGCGTGATGATGGACAACCTGCCACGATTTGCTCAAAGCACATTATTCAATTACTGAAGAGCTCGTTTGTCTTAGTTGGCCGATGACGTTGGTCTTCGCATACAGCACATGCGAAGCGCGGTACATCGAGTCGACGAATCGTGGGGTCTCGGATCTCTGTCCTGAAGCCTTCATAGGCACCGGGCTTTCAAAGAATCACAGTCTATTTCAGCAGACATCCCAACCCAAAGGTAGTATACGTCCGCAACCACTTGCAGCAACTAAACCCTTTGCGGTGCTCATCCCCGCACATGGCGCCGATGTGCTGACAATGCTGTGCGACACAAAAGACACTCTAGTCGAGTTTGAACAACAACCTCAACATGGACTGCATACAAACTTCTTCCCGTTGCGATTGTTGGACGCGCATGTTTTTTACGTTCGCCTTGGCTCAGTTGCAAGCGATAGAATACGGCAAGCGAGATATACAAGATAATCCCCTCAACATGGACTACATACAAGCTTCCGTCGGTAGCGATTGTTGGACACACATTGCGTTTTTACGTTTATCTTGATTCACTTTCAAGCGATTGAATAAGGGAAGGGCATGCGGAATATACAAGATGAATCTATTGAGGTGTTTGGTTTGGATTTGGGGTTTAGTTTTTCTTTTTGGCAAGCGATGCCTTCTTTTATTTATTGAGCTGCTGAGTTCTAGATGCTTTTATAGGCGAGTTCACCTCTACCTTTTACTGTCCGTGCGGTAAGAATGCTTTTCCATCACTTCTTGTAATGGAATCATTGATGACATAACTATTACGTAATGCATTGTTGAAATTTCCAAAGGGTAAATGCATGGAACCACAGAGCTTGCTATTGCTCGCTTAGCTATCCATTATCGCCACTAGCCTGGACAGAATCCCCGGTTGACGGAAAAGTTTTCTCCCTATCGAGATTGCACATATCGCCCCGCCAGGGCTCGAGTGCGGGAGGGGGCACAGAAGGCGGATTTCTGTGATGTCACGGGTATTGCGAAGTGTCTAAAGTTATACAGAAGAAAGCCAACGCTGGAGAAGGGGAGACAGCGTGGTGTCGATTGAATTGCAGGTGGTCTCCTCGCGTCACGGAGACATGTTGGTTTGCAGGCGAGGTTGAATAGGAAGCTGGACGAGGTTTTCTTTTACGAACGGTGGGACAGGTAATTTTATCGTGACGACGTTGAGATACGCGAAGGGCGGACCTTTCAGAGCGCTCTGACGGGCATCAGCAGTTTGTTTTGGTTGGACGGAAGCAGCCTGTAGAAAAAAGATTCTAGTGACAGCTGTGGCGTTCAGAGTACATCGATGGAGATGTCTCGCAGACTTGTAAGTGAGGAGAAGGATTCCAGTGTGGCGAGAGGGGGTAGTATGCCGATGCGTGTGCTCAAACGGCAGGATGCTTCGGCGAAGCAGGCACTGGCTGTCTGGGGAAGCCCAGAAAGGATTTGTGCCACAGCAGTGACGTCGTGGTAAGGGTTGGGGAAGCGTCGCCATTCGATGAGGGCTGAGGAATTTCTATAGGGGTCGAGCTTGCAAACACATGTCAAACGGGTGCTGTGACGTCACTTCACAAGCTGTTTACAGTCTTGGATAACTGCAAAGACAGAAATAGCAAGAAAAGAAAAGGGCTAAGTACTGGGTATGTGCCCCCACTATCCTTCGGAGGGCAGTCTTTATCCGACCACGTATGCTCACAGCAATGATGCGCGATACTTCGAAAGTGCTCGTCGGGCCCAGCGTGCTTCTGCAGAGGCGACACAAGCGTGCCCTCGAACACACCGTAACATCTGGATAAAAAAATTTTCTCTTGATAGTCCAAACGGGTCTTGTTCATACAGAGGAAGCGACAGCGGCTAGCACAGACAATGAGCTAGGCATCAACGGAGGCTTTCATGCTTCCGGTGGCGCGACTACAAACAACTGCATATGCTTCACGGCCATCTCTTCACCTAAACTGTCGATAAATAGCGTGGGCATCCTCATTGTTGGAAGCGCTGACAGCAGCCTGAAATGATCAGCGTAAAAACATCGGAGAGTTCGTGTACGCGAACCCATTTGTTATGTCAGTTGGGGAGTGGTGAAATGAACCCATGTAGCCTGCTATAACTACGAACACGGCCAATGACTCATATTTAATGTCTGACGTCGAATCCAGAATACTGTTCGGCAGATATGAAATAGTTTTGCATCCGCTGGTACGAATTCCGTAATCTTTAGGCTGGCTATAGTATTTTGGTAGCTGACGTGGTGTCGGAGTGCTGAATTGCTGTGAAGCCGGAGCATATTTGATTTTCTTTCTCGTTTCCCCTGATGATTTATTCATGATGGTCATCATGAGTAGCCAGGCGTTTACTGGGTTAGATCTACATGTTTCAAGCTTACAATATGAGCAGGCCATGGCCATGGGGACTTTTCTGCGTCTTTCTCACAGTGCGATCTTCGAGTACCTAGCTAGGTGACAAATGGCCTCCGCGAAGGCCACTTTCAAATTTCAGTATCGAAATGAAAAGATTTATTTAGAGACGCCTCAGTATCTGGACTAGCATTTAGCGGACAAGAGCAAAAGCGAATTCCCAAGTCCCGAATGGAGCTCGTCATTAAAGCGTAATACATCCTAGCGAGAACCACCCGTCTTTCTTGGTCGCTGTTAAGAAAGTCTTGCGAAGGAGCACCTTTTTGAGCTACCTGGCAATCTGTTTCCATGATATCTCCGAAACCAACTACACACTTGTTAAAAATTCCAATGCGCACTTGATGCCTCCTTGAATTTTCTTGGCTTCAGTGCCTCGTTCATGCAAGCTTTAAAACTGAGGTCAACTGCGTTGGGGAAAATGTGACCACTAAAGTACGTATTTTTCTGCAACAAAAGCGTGTACAAACGGAATCAATTGCTGATATGTCAGCTGACAGCATGCCATTCAACATCACGCATGGAAGAAGACAGTGGGTGTCGATCTGTGGGCTGCTGGTGCTCACCTCGGCTCCGATTCTAGCGGACAAATATCAGAGACACTACTGTTTCTTTTACTCGAGAATCGATGCCCCAACAAATTCCATTTAACTTCCTCGCAACATAGGATAGAATTGAGGAGTATACGAACGCACGATAGATTAAGGTAAACAACTACAACGTGAGTTTTCATACCCTGCGCTTGTGCTCACTCGTCATCAGGCTGGACTCTGCCCTTTCCACCCAGTTGCACACCTGTACGCCGTACCATTCATCGCATAAACCAACCGAGAAGGGCATCTCCAGTCTCCTTCTATGCTTCACAACGTGTTATCACAGCATCCGCGGCTGTCCCTAAAGATAAATTTGCCAGGACTTTTTTCGTGTGCGTACTATGAAATTGTTCTTTAGTGTAAACAAGAATCTGTTATTAGAGGCGATGAGGAATAGCCGTTTAAATCTGGTGAATTTTTCTTACGTACCCCTTTTATTTTGGAATTTTTCTTGCGTGTACCGTCACGGTACCCCTTTCTTAGCACTCTTGGGAGGGGCACTGTATACGCAGGCGCCCAGAGTCTGACTTTTTTACCTTGTGAGATCGGCCCGCGGTGGCGCACATGGCCAAGGTTGCCATCAAGATGCTGTGCTCGTCAGGGAACGTGCTCCCTTTGATCAAACTCATTTTTGCGACGCCCTCTTCACCTCTTCACGCATTCAATCTAGCGCTCCTAAGACAAGGGACTCATAAAAAGGGATATGTAAGGAAAATTCCAAAATAAAAGGGGCACGTAAGAAAAATTCTCTTAAATCTGCAAGTACCTTTTCGAATCTAGTGCGTAAGCTGGCCTGGTCATGGCGCGCATTCTTCCAATTCCAAGGCAGACGCATCCATCTTGAACGGAAGCATTCTTACATCGTTTCGCAGAGTACTATATCCTTTGATCCCCTTCACAAGTGAGGATCAGTAACACATCGTGGGCATGGAAGTTTGTGCACAGAGCAAAGTGTGATCAGCAAGGAATTTTACAGAAAGTCTATCGTTCCACACAAGTTTACTGTGCCGTTATCAATGCTTTGTATAGTAGACTACGCGGATTGGCAGGGCCAAACCCTCTATGGCTGGTCCGAAGACTGTGTTCGTCAAGTACGTTTGGAATGTATAAGTAATTGATGAGATACCAGACCGCACAAGCTTCAGAATGTCAAAGCTTAGAATATCCAAGTTGGGGGCTGTTGACCCACGGAATAAACCATCGCCTCGAGCTTCCCCTGAGATGAAGAAATTCTCTCCCTTATACCCATCACTTTCAAAGGAGACAACAGTTGTTCTAGCGGTTGAAGTTCCAAAGTTACCAGCGACACAACCGACACTACTCGTGTATGTTCCTGCCGGGTAAGTGAAGGTGAAATCGTCGTAGCAGACATTGATCTGCGCAAAGGGAAGATCGGGCCTCTCATAAATCAGTACCATAGCCCAAGCAGCGTACGCCGCATTTGCAGAGCAGTACGACTCGCGGTTATCATACCAAATACCAGAAACAGTGTATGTACCACTGCCTCGCACAAAAGATGTCACGTCTGCGGCGGCGCCATAGAAATGCAACCGGCTGCTTCCGCCCCTATACGTCTTCCCGGCTGTAACAGTGTTTCCATTGAATTTGACTTGAGCAGTCTTGCTCATGAAACCAGACGCCGACCAGTAGAGCAATGCTGACTTGACCCGAGCCCCACTCGGCACTGAAAGGCTGGTACTACTGGAAGATAAAATTGTGCAATCCGTGCGGTCTTCGTCAACACTCATCGAAGCACCCACAACAACGTAATCTCCGGGGCCCTCAAAGTTTGTGCAACCACTTTCTTGGCACGAAGAGAGCTCAACGTTTGGAGCAGGGCGCGGCGAGCTTGAAGGTGCTTGAGATGGGCGTGTGGGAGACGGAGGTGCGGGAGATGGACG